AAGGGTACACCTTCCAGCCTGTTGTTAACTGTATCAAGGACAGATATCTTTGCTTACCAATCATACCTGGAAAATAGACTTTAAATACTAAAGACACAATTATGTACAGAGCGATCTGTAACTGTACACAATCTGTATTTAACTTCTCAGTTTACTAGCCACCTGGGGAACGGTGGTCCAAGAAAGTCTGGGTTATTGAGAAATACAGCAGGTAATATTGACAAATTTTTAAAAGTACAAAGATTAACTTTTTCTTGCTGACAGCTAAACTGGATAAGAACACTACAAATAAAACAGATGTAAAATTATGGTCATAGAGCCAATGCATTTGAAAAATGCCTAAGATGTAAAAACACTTTCTGTAATATGAATAACATTAGTTGTACTCGTACTATACGCTATCTTAACCTTTCCTTTATTAAATTTTAAATAATGTGTCACCCTCCCCAAAGTTCTTTGGAAATTTTATTAGAACATTCACTAGAACTAAAGGAAAATATTTCTGAATATGTGAAAGCCTAGCCTTCATCAGCCAAGAATTAGAACAACTTCCCTTGCTTAAAAATTCTAACTCTAGCCAGGGAACAGGGAAGAAGACTAGCTACTGAAGAAAAGCACTAGCAAAAAAACCCAGACAGTTAATAAAATAAACATGAATTATCAGAGAACATAGCTTGAAAATGCTACAGTCTGAAAATAAAGTATAAAGATAATGAAAAAAAAAAAAATGCAAATGCTCCCTGACACTCATTCTGGTAATCTCTAAAGCTACCATTTTTGCAGAGTCATCTATCAAACCTCAAGCAGCAAGTGCAAGCCCTTCAAATTCACACCTCCACTGACTGTGCAAGTATATACACTCACCAATAAAATCCTATCGGATGCAAGAGCAGCATAACAATCCTCTAGAAGAACAGAAAGATATTTGCTATAAAATCAAAGAAAAATTAGAGAAAAATAGCAGGACTTCAGACAGAAAGACATCTTTAACCTAGAAGGATATTTCTGAATTTTGAACAGGATCATGAGAGCACTTTTCCTCTAACCACTAAGATTATAAACTCTGGGGGAAATACAAAAACAATCCTCTTACCAGCAACTGCTTCAGGATTAACCTACACTGAAACACATGTAGGAAGGAGGTCGGAGTAATTTCATACTTCTTCACAGGTTACAAGCCTCCAAGTCAGATTTTACCATTTCACCCAGCAATATTATTTTCTGGCTCTTGAATCGTTTCCACAGTTAAATTCTTCTGACAAATACAGTAAGCTACAAATTCAGCAAAACTACAGTGACCAAAGCTTAACCTATTACTTTTATACATTCCTATATCACTAAAAAAAACCCAACCCAAACTTTCTTATGAGATACACGTACTACTACTTAGAATTCATTCACTTATATATTGAATTGTGTTAACCCTTATTCCTCACAAATGCTGCTACATCAGGAGGCATTCTTCCAACAGAAGGCCACAGTTTACCAGGACAGCCCTAAGAAATATGATCGGTACCTTTTACAATAACCTATTATTTGTTTCCATGCATCCTTCCTAGCCCTAGACAGAACCAGAATTGATGCAAAGAATGCTTTAAAATTACATAGGCTTTCAATACTCATGTCCTTTTTTTATTGGGCACTTTAGCATAACTCTTAATATACCAAATATATACAAAAATATGTAACTAATAAAATTTTGTGGGTTCACGAATAGTATTTGCTTTTGTACGGGTTCACAAATCACACTCTATCAATTCAGACAATACTCTGCACTAATTCAGAAATTTATCACTGCACTCTCTGAAGAGAATTAAAGCAGCTTGTCGTTTTATCACACACATCCCCCATGTACATATTAAAAAGTACCTCCCTTATATGTACCACCTCAGTGTTGTTACAAAGCCAAAATGCTTTTTACACCCCCTACAAATCAAAAAAATACACATTCTTTGCTATGACACTGTCTTTTGAAAAATGAGAGTAGTATCCCTTTTCCCTGCAGTATACTTGTTTTATCTGGAAAAATGATACATATGCCAAACCTCACTTTTTCCTTATTACGTACTCTTTGGATCCTGCTTCATTTTTGCTGGAGTGTTCTCCCTACACATTTAATACAGCTTCGGTTAGTATCCAGCCTAAATTTCTCAACTTAAAACCCAGGAGTTTCCAGCACCAAAGGGGCATAATGTTAGCATCCAAAAATCCCCATACACATGCTTAACAATAAAGCACAAACATAGTAAGGATGCACCAGAACATACAGAACTTTGAACTCCCACAGCTAATTGTCCTGCTGACACGGTGTTAAACAAGCAGGCATTTCCTGGGTGTTCAGTGTAGTGGCAGAACAGCGAGATGTGAAAGCCCGTATTATGTGACACAGAGACTGCAGCCAAAAGACTACTGACATCCTGAACGTTCCCTGCACTTAGCTGCATTTTGACAAATCGGGTTTTTAGGTTAACAACACACGGAAGGTAAAAAAAAAAAAAACAGGACAGACTTACTTTCAGCTGGTATTTCACTTTCAAAGAAAGTTAAGAATGTTTGTTGAGATTTTTTAAAAGCCTATTTCATGTCTACATATTGGTAACTACAACAGAAGTGCCAGATTTAGAAGCCTACAGTGTCGTCACTGTCACCTCAGACAAGAGATGTGGCTACATGGGTCTCCACCAGTTTCAGACAGGGCTTATTATTTGCTCCTAACACAACACTTAATGTATTTACTCTCTCACAGACAGTCAACAAACACAAGAAGCAGCTTGTGTAGATAAATGCGTGCTTTCATTTATCCTGGTTAAGTCTGAACGCTCAAGTACTGAACTGCCCCACTCAGAACACTGGAATGACTACAATGGGTAAATTCACCCCTCTACAGAGCAGGATGAGTACAACATCAATTCCCACGCCCCAAACCTGAACAAAACCAGCCATGCCTGCAAAAATTTCTCCATTTGATAATAAGCCTTCTCAAATAACAGGGCCAGAGGCTAAATCTTTTCAACTTTTTTAGTCAGTCAAAATATCTGACAGTCTTCATCTAACACTTCCACAAACAAGAACACTCCATGCTTCAAGTCTAATTTTCATTCAGTCAAAATACTCAGTGGGCCAATGCTTTAAAACACAACTAAACCAAAACAAAAGCCACATTATTAAAAGCGTGTTTTGAACTTTGAAATGCAATTACCTGAGTAAGCAGGAAAAAAAAAGAAAAATCAGCTGCTTGTGTAGAATTTGTAACAAGCCTAATCAGTTATTATGAAGCGTGCTATTTCCAACTCCCACTGGAAGGCTTGTTTAAACATTCCTTACTTCTCATGACAGCTTCCAGGTACAAGCATAAGCTCTTGTCAGAATACTACCTTGCACTGTAACATCAAGCCTCTTTGGATTAATTTTGTCTTGAGAATATGGGAAGAAATTTCTAGAACCAGAAACCAATTTTAGAGAAACAGAATCCAGTATTAGAGCAACAAGTTTCCTGGGCCTATCACAACTAGATGGTTTTTGGCCTTGTCACAGCATAGGGCACAGCTCCAAGTAAACAAGCCTACCTCTAGCAGAGAAACACGCGCATATAGTTCAAAGACTAAAAGTAACATTCCCTGAACTCCACAAAACCAAACACATTTGTTTCAAGATGTTAGAAAATTAGTCTAAGAAACCAGTGCACTTAGCTAAAATTAGAATTTTTCAAAATCAGACTGAAAACTTTCAAAACATAGACTTGTGAAACATTTGCTTAACAGATTACATTTCAAAGCATCTTCCAATTTTAACAGTTTTGGGTTCTAACTGAAGGCTCACTAGTGTTCTTCTCTTTATTGCGTTCTACAATTTACAACACTTTCCACAAGAATATCTTTGTATTTTTTGAATAAGTAGACCAAGAAAATGTAAATGCATTTTTCACTTCCACGCCTCTACAGCTAATAAGAGCAAAGCTGCACACTTTAAAACTAAGTTCTCCTCCAATCCTACCCACATTTCCCCTATCTTACCACCCATTCCTGATCAAAATCTGAAGTATTATGCTCACGATAAGGATTCTTGCTTCAGTTGCTCAGCTACTGTAGCAACTACATTTATAAACAGAGAGTGCAGTCTGATTTCCCCTAACCCAACTTCTGCCTAATGCATTTTGCTGTCTCATAAGCTGATGAGGGTTTTGACTGGCGACATTCCTTCAGTCCTCTCCTTGATTTTATTTCCCAGGACCTTACTGAATACAGAGAACAGGAGAGAAGGTGAAAAGAGAGGTTTCTCAGTACAAAGTGAAGACTAACGTTTTAAATCCTTGAAGGTTTCTAACACATGCTTCAGCTAGGCATTTGCCATCTCCCTCTGCCATGCTGCTCAACCAAATGAACTTAGTCCGACTTTAACTATCATCCTTTATTTTTCTTAAGATGGAAGTGGAAGGGGGTAAACCAACAGACTTTATAAAAGCAGACTGAATGTTCCATAGTTTCCAGAGTTTCGCTGCCCAGATGTCACGTGAAAGGCTGTTGCAGACACACCTTTAGATGCTAAGCTCCCCAAATCTTTCAAAAGGAGGCCACAAGGATGTCTGGACTCGGCTATCAGAGGCAACCACCCGTGCCGAGGCAAGCGACAAGGTAACGTCCAACCCTGCGAACTCACTTATGGCCCTTCCCCCTGTCTCAAAACGCTCTATTTCCCTGCAGATTTTTCAGCACTCCCATGTACCAATAGAAAACATTCACCTGCAACCAAAACATGTCCTCTCAGTCTTTTAAGTACAGAGTCACTGCAACCTGCCAGTACAGGGAGACTATTACAAACCTCACCATGCACCCAAACTCCTGCTCTGCAGGAGACACCCACGTTCACCCTACAGCGGTGAGCAGAATCCCATGTGCACTCCCACGCCTCGTTAAGTGCAGACTAACCACTGCAGCCCAGGCTGTGGGTGAAACAATAAAGCCTCCCCGCCATCACCCACCTTCACCAAACGCAGTACGCACTTGCCTAAGCGTATAGGGATGCAAGATCCAAGAGCGAATGCTCACCAGCTCCTCTCCAGCACATGCTCCTGCAGAGAGGAGCCCTATAGCTCTCCCAAAGCTTCCTTTCTCGGCGGGAATCTGTAGAGGGCCAGCACCACATTTTCCTTCTGCTGCGCTACCCCAGTCACGACAGGTCATGACCTGCTCCCAGTACTCCCAGTACACAGCAGCACAGATGGCTATTCTGCCCCATCACCCACTAATCCATGGGTGCCGGCACATATATTCCTGAAAGAAAAACACTTTAGCTTCCCGTAGCCCTCTTGGCTCCTCTCCTCCAGCGCACAAGGCGGGTGAGTCCCCCTTCCGCCCTCTGGCCATTCCTCTCCAAAACAAGGTGGAAAGTCCGTCCGCTGGGGGACTGGCCACCATAGCCCCCTCCC